TAAATTGGTTTCAGGTGTACCACTCCACAGTACACCATCTGTAGATTGTATTGTGTGTTCACCACCCCAAGGGACAATGTTTTTTCTATTCCGTCTGTTAAAACTGTACACCCTAAGCCCTTTCATGAGTATTTTTTTCTTAGATGGAGAAAGAAACACACCAGACTCAACCCACACTGTCGTTATCCAACGTGACCCTCAGGAACTCCGTGCAATGTTGACGGATCGTTAGCCCATGTGACTGGGACACATGCCTTCAAAGAACACAACCCCCCCATCCCCAACCTCTGAAAACACACGGGAAATGACAGAGTCGCTGCTGCCAGGCCGGTCCTCTGGTACAACCTCCCCATCTGATCTACATTTCTGCCCGACGCAGAGGGTTCGCTGAAAAAACATGCATCAAAACGCTTGCTTCAAAGAGGCATAGCCCTTAGTTCAGAGACAGGAGCGGCTTATACTACTACCCCTTCCTGCCCAGTAAAATATTGTATTTTAAAAAAGGAGCTACAGTGTATAAAACCGGGGTCATGTCCCGAAAAATGTTCACGTTCTCTGTGGCTACAAAACACTGCACCTTGGAAAGCATCCCCGGTTCCGTTAAGGTGAGACGCTGAGCACGAGTGCCGGCTGGAAACGCGGACTGTCTCCCAGGATGGCGGAGGCCCGAGCAGCAGAGTCCTTGTCTTATTTGGACAATTAAGTAATAACTGCCGTTGTATTTCTGATTACATTCTGACACAACACACTAGCATTGTGATTCTCAGACCCACAAGAGAAGTTATAAAACACGAGATTATTTAAAAAAAAAAAAAAAAAAGAGCTATTTACAAAGCAGGACCCACTCTGACGGCTGGTCCTGTGACAGATACACCTCCTAAGCACCCAGACCAGCGGTTTCTGGCCCGTGAGCTGCAGGGACTGTTAACACGTGCAGCCTGACGTTCAGCCAGGGCACCAGCCCCTTCCCTCAGATTGTCAGATAAGAAAATGACAGCGGCCAGCACAATAGCCATCTGGTGTCAATGAATTAAAATTATACTTTTTTTTTTTTTTTGTCAAATCAACAAAAAACGTATTTGGCGAGCTGCAGAATTTTCACAATTAGTTTATGTGAGGTTGAAAATCGCTGCTCTGGCCCATTGCGATGGGCTCTTTCAGTCGGCCACAATGAGACACGCCGTGTTTTCATCGCTGGGTCGGTGATACGTTGGCACCCGGCGGGCTAATCTCATCGATTTCCTGGCTCTCGGTCTGACCGGTCACGATGGAACAGACACAGGAAACAATGCCCAAGGGGGACCCCAGGCCTGAGGTGCGGGCAGGAGCAGGCGGCCTGTGGGCCAGGAGGGTAGTTTTCTTAGAGAAACAGGATTTCCAGTTGCCCTGTGCACCCGGGCATTTCCCCAAATGGTCCCCACTCCCACCCCACCAGAGAAGCCTGCGTGGGCCCCGTGTTTGAGCTGGGAGCCCTCCCTCCCCTCAGTGCGGGGTGACAGGCGGAGAGAAGGTCTGCAGGGCCGGAGGAAAAGGGCACCTCGTCCGGAAAAGCCCGGGAAGGAAGGGCGCTCCTTGCCTCCAGCGCAGCCACACGCCCAGCCTTCCCGCGGCCCCGGCTCAGCCCAGAGCCAGCCTCCCGGGGGAGGCGGAGGGGCCACGGCTGCCCTCACGGTGGCACCAGGGACGCCGCGGCCTGCTGGCCGGCCTCCACACAGCTCAGCCGCTGAGAAGCGCTTCTCTCTTCCCCAGCGCCCCCTCTCCAGAAGGGGGGTCATGTAAGTTTGTCTTAAACGATAACGTGTGCCTAAGACCCCCCCAGCTTTCCTGACTAGGAGACTCTAGAGGTAACAAGCCTTTCCGGCCGTCAGCTCCCCTGGTTCTATTCCACACGCCCTGCCCTTGCCCTGAGGAATGAACACTGGTTTAGTGTTTTGCTGCTGCTCTCAGGACACTGCTCCAGCCTCTCCCCTAAGCTCCTCCAGCGACAGCTGCGTGCCCTTCCCTCCTGGGCCTGGGAAGGAGGCCACAGGCTGGCTCAGGCGGGTGCCCTCTGGTCGCTGCAAGTGGCCTTGCCCTCTAGGGGTAGGGACAGCCTGAGGGGGCGGGGGGGGGGGGCTGAGCAGCACTTCGGAGAGGGAGCCAAGGCCTTCTGTTTCCTCTCAGGTCCCCACAAGGGGGCCCCTTTGCTTCTTCCTCCACGTTCTCCCTCTGCTTCCCACAACGGGGTGCATGTCCTTGGGGCGTCCTGTCAGAGAGCCTCTCTGTGTGCAGCCCCGAGAGCCCTGTCACTACGCACCGCCCGGCCTCCTCTGGAGAGAGGCGAGGAGGAGGGGTGTTCAGAGAGGAAAGGCCAGGCAATGACGAGCCTCGCTTAGAAACACGGTGGGACCAGCATCCCTGCACTGCATGCCTCGTAGACAGGATTCTGCAGTCCCCATGACGGATGGGGCCCCGGCTCAGCACCCAGGTGCCCTTCCCACCCTCCTCCCTCCGCCCTCTGCCAGGTGAGGACAGAAGGACGTGGTGCCCCGGGGATGATGTAATTGAATGCTGGGCTTCATTTGGCACTTCGTTTAGTTCCAAAGTATAACAAAATAGCTCTACATTTTTAGAATTTAGCTTTTACGATCAGTGTTGTACATTGCAACTCATAGCTTTTTGGGTGGCCTGCAAGAAATGGAATTCCTTGTTTTCGAGGCCAGCCAAGCAAAGACTGGCGGTCCCTAGTTAGCAGGTGCCTGGGTGCAGGGCAGGGTGTCTGCGTGTGCAGGGCAGCGCTGAGGCTGTGCACGCCTGGCGGGAGCAGGGACCTCCGGGGCGGAGACGGGGAAAGCAGGTGTCCGAAGGGAAGCGAGCTGCTAGGAGAGGGCCCCCCGCGCCGCCGCCTGCTCTGCCTGTGGTTTGGCAGCAGCCAGGCGAGCGCCCAGCGCCCAGCACCACGTGTGTCTCCGGGAGCTGGTACAGGGCTGCCCACAGCACCGTGTTCCCTCGCATTCCAAGTCCTGTGTGTGTGTGTGTGGTGGTGGGTTAGGCCCCATCACTTCAGTCCTTTGTGATTAGTGAGCCCCAGGATCCAGAGCCCGGGTGCCGGAGAGAAAACCTCCACCACTCCCGTGTGTGGGGACCTGACCGGATGCTGTCCAGCCTGGATCACGGGGGCCACCCTGCCCAGCCCTGGTGCCGGCACCAGCCAGAGCACCAGCCAGAGCACCCGCTCCCAGCGAGGGTGCCCCAGGGAGCGGGGCCGAGGGGAGGAGGAAAGGCCCGCTGGGGCCGGGCAGGGCATGCATAGCCGTGTCTGCACGTGAAAACAATGCCCTTTCATGGCCGACCCGTCTGCATGGAGCTCTCGTTACAGCCGATGCCCTGGAGCGTGCTGAGGGAGCTCCCCGACGTGATAGCAAATGACGCTCTTTTCCTGCTCTCTTGAAATAAGTGTTTTTAAAGAAAAAAAAAAAAACAAAAACAAAACATAAACGAAGGGGAAAAACAGGACTTCTTCTAAGGAAAAAGTCACGAGAGCTTAAAAAAAGAAACAAAAATTGCCAAAATATAAGAATGCAGATTATGGGTGTCACACCACCAAACCTCCTCAGGTATAAAAAGAGTAACTATTATTCTACATGACTTCTTTCTACTCTTTACAAAAGGCGTATGTCAATCTCTAGACATATAATAAACTCTCCTCTGTGCAATTTCCTCTCACATTCCTACGCCGATCCCAGGCTCCCGGCTCACACGCATCGTAAGGTGCTTGTACTTCTGCAAAGGGAGAGGGGAAGGACTCCTTCCGGGGCAATCGAGGCGGGGAGGAATCTACAGGGTGGGATGACTCCCCTCTCCCCACACCACCACCACCACCTCCACCACCACCAACAACAACCACCCATCCACCCACCCACCCCACCACCAGGCCGGAGAGCCTGGGAATGGAACACAGTACGAGCCGTCTACAGTGCATGTTCCTTTGGTGTCTCTAGGTTCCCTTCTGAGTCTGTTCCTGACGAACAGCTCCACTATTTTCACAAGCAAAACACGGTTTGTCTCTTCCCTCTTACCCATAAAGCCCTTAGGCTGCTCCTGAACCTGTCCCCCAGACACGCTAAAGCATAAACCCTATCAAAGTGCACTCACCGGCCGGTCTGCCGGCCTCTCGGCTCCCCCAACAGATGGCCATGCCCCCGTCCGAGCAAACCGCGGGCCGGCTCGCGTTCTGGACCTTTCCTCAGACAGACAGACGGAGGCTGGGGGGAAGCCGGTGCCCTGTACGCTGGCAGTGGCTCTCCAGCCCAGGAGGAGCGGTGCCCGCGGCCCCAGCGCACATCCTGGAGGAGCACCAGCTCCCGGCCTCCCCGCCCCGGGTGGGGCTGAGAGGAGCCGCAGGGGAGCCGGGAAGGCTCTCCAGGTCCCCGGGAGACTCCAGGTGTCCCCTCGGTGATCCCACCTGCCATGGGGCGGGGTCATTCTTCAAAGCAAACGAGCAGGAAAGACAGGGAAAGGATGCAGAGCTGCCCAGGAAGTCCATGGGGCCGGGAAGGCCCAGGAAAGCACATCCTGGCCTTTACACAAACGCCAGAGCCACCTGCAGCGTTCCCCGGGCATCACCATTCTTCGGGAAGCTCATCGAAATATGCTCCTTCTAGGGAACGCGACTCTGGGGGTCCCCATGCCACGGAGACCCCAGCTTCCAGACCCGACACCCGGCCGAGGGGGGGACCCCCTCGTGCACGGGGAGCGTGGTGCACCGGACGTGTGGCCTCTGTTCTTCTGAGTCCCACCACGGCTCCCGGACGCTCTTCCTGGCTCCGGGTGTTCTGTTGAAGGAAGGGCTTTCCCAAAGCTGCCGAGGAGGCCAGGGCCGGCGGCCCTGTGGCCGCAGCCGCACCCCTCAGTCCAGGAAGCGCTGGAGGCCTCCTCCCAGCGGCAGGCCTCGCACCACAGTCCCAGTGGCCGCGACCCGGAGGCCATGACCCGGTGGCTACAACCTGGTGGCGGAGCCCTCAGTCCAGGAAGCGCTGGCAGGCCTTCTTCCAGCGGCAGGCGGTGCACCACAGGTCCCGGTTCTCCATGCCATACACCTTCCGGCACTTCTTGCCCTCTCCCCGGGGCTTCCTGCGGGAGGGGGGGCGGCGGTCAGCGGGAGGAGCTCAGGGGCACCGCTCGGAGGGCTGGGCGCCCCCGGGGAGGTGGGGAAAAGCCGGGACACGGCGGGGCTCTCTGCGGCCAGGCCTTCCCGGGCGCCACCGCCCAGGGCTGTCACTCGCCCTAATTCCTAAGGTCCTATCCGCCCGCCTGCGGACACGACACTGCCCCCCGCAGAGCGCCGCGGCCAACCGCACAGGAGAACGGCCCGCAGAGCATCGCTCTTCCGCGTCCTGGAAGAGGTACTTTCGAGGGCTCTCTTGTTTCTCAGCGCCTGGCACCCGGGTCCGGGGCTCCTGGCTCTGGGTGGAAAGTCTACCCTGTGGTTCACTCACTAACAGGCTCAGTGCACCGGGCGCTGGGCGGCCCAGGCGGCCCCCGCCCGCTCTGTAGGAGAACTGACTGTGAACTGAAAACAGCAAGGCAGCGCGTTCCCACGAGTGAACGCGCGGGGAGAGCCCTGGGTAAAAGAAAGGGCGTCTCCTCCAGCACGGGGCCGTTCACGGGAGGCCCTGCCTCCGGCCCCTGCTCCTCGCGGTCCCCTGCGCGTCAGTGACCCCCGGAGGCGGCGTGCGGGCCCCTACCTCAGGCCGACCGTCACTCTGGGCGGGGAGGACAAGGCCGCGGGGCCGTGCTGCCGCTGCTCTCCCGGGCCCCCGGGGGGCTGGTGCGTCGGCGACACCTGCAAGGACAGGAGGACAGAGCTGAGGGCCAGGCTCTCTGGGCCACGCCGTCAGGGGCCTCAGGGGTGCGGGCCGCGGCCCCCGATCGTTAGACGTGGAGGTGACCCGTCACAGAGACCACGTGTCAGACGGAGGAGGCGGTGCTCTCGTGGAATGTAAACGCGTCTCCCTCAGAGAGACCGGCCTGCGGGCCTGACACCCCCGCACGGCGTCGCCCTGGGCTGGTGGGCTCCTGCTGCCTGCCTGGGCTTTTTATAGACTGAGTGTTTGTGTTTCCCCGGACTGGGAGCTGGGCCTCTAAGGAGGTCATTAAGGCTAAATGAGGACCAAAGGGTAGAGCCAGGTCCCCTAGGACTGGTGTCCTTTTAGGGAGAGACACCTGCCGGGCGGCGTGGCTCAGTGATTGGGGTCAACCTACCAACCAGGAGGTCACGGTTTGATAGCCAGTCAAGGCACATGCTGGGTGGCAGGGTGTGCTGGAGGCAGCCAATCAATGATTCTCTCTCATCATTGATAATTCTCTCTCTTCCTCTCTGAAATCAATAAAACTATATATATATATATATTTTTTTTAATTTATTTTTTTAAAAGAAGAGACACCAAATCTCTCATTTCTCCCCAAACCTTTTAACAGACAAGGCCGTGTGAGGACACAGCGAGAAGGGCCTCACCAGTAAGAGGCCCTCTGCAGGAGCAAATCAGCCAGCACCTCGGTCTGGACTTCCAGCTTCCAGAACAATGAGAACACAATTTCAGCTGGCAAAAGCCCCTCTCCCCGCCTATGGCATTCTGTTAGTGCCATCTGAGTAGACTTGCGTCATGAAAAGACAGGAAGAGGAATGGAGATAATTAGAAGGAAAGGTGAGTCACTTGGGGAAAAACACGTCAAAGAAAGCTGTCATTAATAAAGATCCTCTCCCACCTTGTGTCTGTCAATGAAGGCCCTCTCCCCACCCCTCATGTCCATTCATGAAGGTCCTCTCCCACCCCGTGTCCATTCATGAAGGTCCTCACCCCTCCCCCATGTCCATTCATGAAGGTCCTCTCCCACCCCATGTCCATTCATGAAGGTCCTCTCCCCTCCCCCGTGTCCATTCATGAAGGTCCTCTCTCCACCCCCATATCCATTCATGTAGGTCCTCTCCCACCCGTGTCCATTCATGAAGGTCCTCTCCCCTCCCCCGTGTCCATTCATGAAGATCCTCTCCCCATTCCCGTATCCATTCATGAAGGTTGTTTCTCCACCCATGTCCACTGTGTAAGACCTGGAGGAACTTGGGAGAGCATATCCCTCAGAGTTATCTCTGTACCTCAGAAGGAAGTGCTTTAATCGGAGGGGAAAGTGGGGGGGAAAGGGGACATTTGCAATACTTTAACAATAAAATCTTATATAATAAAAGGCTAATATACAAATTGACTGGTGGAATGACTGGTTGCTATGACATGCACTGACCACCAGGAGGCAGATGCTCAATGCAGGAGCTGTGCTCCCACAGGGGGAGCGCCGCTCAGCCAGAAGCCAGGCTTATGGCTGGTGATGGTGGGAAGGTCCTCTCCCCACTCCCGTGTCCATTCATGAAGGTTGTTTCTCCACCCATGTCCACTGTGTAAGACGGTGGACATGGGTGGAGATCCTGCCTCTGCAGCAGTGCTAAGGATGTCCGGCTGACAGCTTAGGCCGCTCCCCACGGACATCCCCTGAGGGCTCCCGGTCTGTGAGAGGGTGTAGGCAGGGCTGAGGGACCATCCCCACCCCCCACTGAGTTCACGAATAAATAAAACGTGGGGGGGGTAATTCCATCTGGGCTGGGCAGTTCCATCCACATGCTATGCGTGGTTTCACACAAGCTGAACAAGAGGGTGTCTGCCCTTGAAAACCCTCCTCAAGTCAGAGACAAGAGGGACAGATGAGCACAGCAGTCTCGGGAATTCCGTCGCAGTAGCGGCCTTTCCAGGTTAGAGGAGTTGTCCTGAGTGTGACACAGACACTCTGGGCCCTTTTTAGTGTCTAACAAACACAGTCACCAACAGGACTGATTGCTAACTGGACACACACCTTAACAGATCACGGTTCTCGCCAGAAAGGACTCTAACACCTGATTCTAAGTCGTTTTCTCCCGCCTGCTCGCTCATCCATGGTGGCTGTCCGGCCTCTCAGAGCCACCAGCAGTGTCACCCTTCCGTGAAGCAGAAGCTTTCAGAATTGCTCCAGACCCACACTATGGTTTAAGCGTGGAATCCGGGGGCGTTTTCTGGAAGCCACAACTTCCCAACTGTTGCCAGCAGTTTGCTTTTTATCCTTGGCTAGTCCTCCGGGATTCCGTACCTATTCACTGGCCAGAGCAGCAGACTGACTGAGCCACCATCATTAGTGTGCACTCTGCAGGGGGTCTTAGTGTTTGCTGGAAACTCCCAGAGGTTGGTAATAAGAATCTTTTGGGAGGTTAGGTGGAAAGAGGAAATCTCTTGGGGAGAGAGATAGAAAGGAGAAAATAACATGAATATCCATAATCATAAGCTAATCTCTGGATCTTCCCAGGAGGAAGAAACTACTGTGAGCGCCAGTGGGTATGGGATGCTCTGTATAACTTATTATTACCCAATATATATTTTATTTGTTTATTATTTTTAAAAGATATGTTTTGTATTGATTTTAGAGAAGAAGGGAAAGGGAGAGAGAGACCGAAACATCAATGATGAGACAAGATCACTGATCGGCTGCTTCCTACTGGGGATTGAGCCTGCAATGTAGGCATATGCCCTTGACTGGAATCGAACCTGGGACTCTTCAGTCTGCACGCCGACGCTCTATCCACTGAGCCAAACCAGCAAGGGCCCAATATATTTTTAAGTGAATGCTTAGGAATCAGGTTAATTCATGGCAATTTATCAGACAGGAATCATTTAATATGTCAAATCAATTCTTCTATACTGCTTAAACCTGATGGCATATTTTAGCACTCATTTATTTTCAAATTACACATCCATATGGGTGGATTATTCAGGATTTGGGGGCAAAGAGTGACTTTAATTTTTTATTTTTTTGAACCATCAAGATGACATACCGGTAAACAATAATTTCAAAGTCATAAATATTATGAATGTACTCATAATGATAAATGCCATTTATGCACAAGGTTTTTTTTTTAATGCTCAGAATCTGAGCTCAGAGATGATGTTAAAGCCTTTGGAAACATGTAAACATCCCACCAACAAAAAACCTTGATCCACATCTGACATGTTTATCAACAGCTGAAACGCTCTTCTATCTGACAGAGACGTCAGGCCTGTGGAGCCACAGGAAACCTTGCTCAGGAGTTTAGAAAATCCATGCAAGAAGCAGGGGCTGCCGGAACCGGTTTGGCTCAATGGATAGAGTGTCGGCTTGGGGACTGAGAGGTCCTGGGTTCGATTCCGGTCAAGGGCATGTACCTTGGTTGCAGGCATATCCCCAGTAGGGGGTGTGCAAGAGGCAGCTGATCGATGACTCTCTCTCATCAATGTTTCTAGCTCTCTATCTCTCTCCCTTCCTCTCTGTAAAAAAATCAATAAAATATATTAAAAAAAAAAAAAAAAAAAAAAAAAAAGAAGCAGGGGCTTCCAACCTCCTGGTCTTTGTTTTTCTGTTGCATATGTGCGAATGTGTTCTCTAATTTAGTGTCTAAATATGTTCTCTAACTTACATGTCTAAATGTGTTCTCTAACTTACATGTGTAAATGTGTTCTCTAACTTACATGTGTAAATGTGTTCTCTAACTTACGTGTATAAATGTGTTCTCTAACTTATTTGTCTAACTTAGGTGTGTAAATGTGTTCTCTAACTTAGTGTCTAAATATGTTCTCTAACTTACGTGTGTAAATGTGTCTCTAAACGTGTATAAATGTGTTCTCTAACTTATTTGTCTAACTTAGGTGTGTAAATGTGTTCTCTACCTTTGTGTTGGGCGTTTCGTGTTTGTACTCACTGGAATGCCTGTGAAGGTAACTGGAGGTGACTGCCAGGAGACACTGAAGCTGCTGCCGTTGGGGGTGAACTTGGCCGATCCTGGGATGGTCACGGGGGGCGTGGCCTGTCACAGAGCAAACAGAAAGGGTCACGGTGTGGCACGGTACAGAGAACACTGAGAAGCATTTCTCTCAGTCTGAGCTGTCATTTACCAACATGGCCTCAGAGTGATCTCAGCTCTATTAATAATTAGACTAATTATCTGAGAGGAAGAGAGGAAACATGGTCAGAGAGTAGCTGGAAAGAAACTCTTTATATGTCTAAGCAATCTATCTAATGTATCAAAGGGGATGGTTTTTGACTAACAATAAGAGAACATTGGAGACAATTTGATTGAACTTCATGAGGAAAATTTCTGAATTTTACGACAGCTGTGAGATATAATTTCTCACTATCAAATTTGGAAATAAACACTTTTATACAGGGGTGGTGGTACAACATTTGGGAGGGTAATTAGGCAATATATATGTAAAAAAATTTAGAATTCTGTATATTAGCTATTCTACTAGAATTCATTCTAAGGAATGGTTACAAGGATGTTCATTGTGTTATATTTTAAAACGTTGGAAACACAAATGTCTAATAATGGGGAAATGGGTAAATAAATTATGATATACCAACTGAGCCATTACAAATAATATTGTCAAAGAATAAGCAATGACATGCAAAGAATTCATGAGCCCTGGCCCATGTGACTAAGCGGTGATAGCATGTCTGTGCATGGAAGGCTCTCGAGTTCGACTGGAGGTCAAGGCCACATACCTGGGCTACAGGTTCACTTCTGGGCTCTGGTCTGGGCGCATGTGGGAGGCAACCAATCAATGTATCTCTCTTACATTGATGTTTCTTTCTCTTTCCTCCTCTCTCCTCTCTCTTTTTTGTTAAATCCCTTTGTGAGGATTTAACCAAAAACCCACCACATTCATGATATATTCAGTGGGGAAAAAAACAAGCATAGAAAAACAGTACTACAATAGAATCCTTAGTTCTTTTTTTAAATACATATACACATAGGAGAAAGTCTTGAAAGACATATCAAAAATATTAACCAAGAGGCTTTCTTGTCATTGGGATTCAGGATACATTTTCTCTCTCTGCTTTGGTTTTTAGCATATCTATGCTGAACATTTATAATATCTACAGAGAAATCCCAAATATTATGAACATAGGGAACAGAAAGATCAAGTGTGTGTTCCAACCCACTTTAAAGATAAACAAAATAATTTCATTAAGTTGGTTCAAGCAAATGATTTTGGACCTAAATGCAAACATGAACAAAGGAATGAGTTACTCTTTTTGACCCACTTAACAAGTCAGGAATAAAACTTGTAGCACCATCTAATCTAATAATTTGCTCTAGTCCATTGCTCTTGAGCATCAGTCTGCTAACTAAGTGGTTTAGCTTTTCGAAGGATACATCTAGTTGTGATGGTGGTGGCTTTGTTTGGCACCATGGAAGCATCTGGGCAATGCTTAGCAGCAGCACCCTGTTCAGGCTGCATCCTCTGACTCAGTAATTCCTCCTCTGTGACTTCAAAGGGGAAGAAAAGCTACAGGCACAGAGATGTCCATAGTGGAGTTATTAATGAAGAAACTGGGTAAGACTAGTTCCTAACAATGGGAGAACATTGGAGACAATTTGATTGAACTTCATGATGAACATGAACTCAGCTACGGGGCTACTGTGAGGGATGCTGCTTTTCTATCCCAGGTCAGAACGCACTGCTGTTGGTCAGGGGCAGAGTGCCCCTCAGGGTCGTGCCCGGCACCTGGTAAGCGTGGTCGGTGTGCACGAGGTAGAGGGTGGTCGGGGCCGAGCGGCTCAAGGGCGTCATCAGTTTCGTCTCGGCTTTGGCACCAGGGCTTTCCGTTCTGCTTGAGTCCGGGATGGGGAAGGTGGGAGGCGAAGCCAGGGACTGGGAGGGCGAAGCCGGGGCCAGGCCGCCCAGTCCGTCTGCCACCGCGTCCGTGTTGAGCTTGATCTCCGTGTAGTAGAAGTCCTCTTCCCCGTCGCTGTAGTCAGACTCCCCAACACGCCTAATGCAGAGGACGGCAAAGCAGTCAGACGACGCACCGCGCAGGCTGCGCCTCCGCCTGGAACGTCTTCCTTTCCCGCGTCTGCCTGGCAAACGCTTTCTCATCCCGCAACACCCTGCTGTCCACGTCCAGGGAAGACCTCCGACCTCTTGGAGGACTTCATTCAAACAATCAACCAAGCAATCACTTATTCAACTATTATTTGGGAATCTGCTCTGTGTAGGCACTCTCCTAGGATCTCATGGTGTCATGTGACCAAGTCGTAGATGGATTCTGCCCTGATGGAAGTTACAGCTAGTGGGAGAGGCAGACAAGGGCGCCACAAACAAACAGGTATTTAGTGCACCGGGGAGTAATGAATCCCCCAGGCCTGCACCACACTATTGTCTGTGTCTATGGGTATGCGTACGTGCATGCAAGGTCTTTGGTTACCACCCCCGCCCCTGAGATTAAAGGGATTGCTCAACATGAAGACCCTGATGAGCCTGACAGTGGGAGGGGAGGGGAGTGACGAGCCCGGTCTGGGATGTATGCTGATGGTTAGGATAAGGACCTCACTCCTCAATGTGCCCCTGGCGGTGTGCACTTTATTTAAATCGTGTTATTAAGTTACTTCGCACATTTCTGTAAGTTTTAACCTCTGCTGCTTCCTGACAACATTCTCTAGGGCTTTGGTGTCCACAACCAACCCGAAATGTCCCACTGTCCTCTCGTCACGGCATTCAGCTCAGGGTCTAAGCCTCAGAGTCTCTAAGGCAAAGGCGGTCCTCTCCCCAGTTCCAGGGCTAATCCGAACCCTCACTCTAGAGCACGGAGCACAAAGGGAGCCCGGGAAGCAATGAACTTGGCCACTGGAGCTCAAAGGGAACGGCTGGTGCCACCTACTCTGCAGGCTCCAACGGGCAGACAGGCACGGCTTCGCCCGGCGCTGGACAGGGTGCGATTCTCTGGGCACATGGGCCTGACAACAGACCCCTGCATCCCGAGCGAGCTCCGGGAGGCTCTCTCTGGGCCGTTAGAGACGTGAGCTATTCCCGTCGAGGTCGCCCTGACACGAGGTCAGACAGACATGCCCGACTTCCTCCCTGGCACTCCCAGGAGCAGGACTGGGCGGTGCCCAGAGGGTGCAGGGCGACCCTGAGCCACACCCACGGGGTGACCCGCACGCGGTGCCCTGGGAGGGACGGGCTACGTCGCAGACCTCAGCCCCTGGTCCCTTCTCCTCCCCACCCACCCGGTCAGCAAACCCCGCTGGAGCCCTGGGTTTCCTTCCTGCCCTGCTGCTGTGGGCGCTGCCCATCCCACATTGGCTCCTTGCTGGGAGAGCGCCTGCAGTGCCATCTCTCATCTCGTGGAGGGGGCTGCTCTGGCCCAGGCGTCTGCACCCGTCACCAGTGCAGCTTCTCTAGGGCCCCTTTCAGCCCCAGGTCCCTGGACAAGAGGGACTCAGAGCCCCCAGGCCAAGACGGGGAACCATCGCTGCCTGGGAGGGGCCTCCCCAACGGGCCCCAAGCTTTGGTTTGTCTTTCCTGAGGAAGGTTTTCATAAAACACAAGGGAGACATAGAGGCGGGTCGCTGGAGATCACGGCCACAGCTAGAGCCGCTCTGATGGGCACAGTGGTGCCTAACCCTTTTTAGGCTCAAAGTCACGAATACGCTCCATCAGAGTGGGGGGGGGGGGAGTACATTTACATTTACAGACATCCTCAGGGGGTCCTACCCTGCCCAGGTGTTGTCTTTTTACAAACGGCTCTCACCACGTTTTATTGTTGAGCTTGATCTCCGTGTTGAGCTTGTGACCCTGCAGCGCTGACTGTACTGCTCACCTAACCTGCGCCCCAGAGGGCGCAGGGCAGTCACTAACACCCCTCGGTGCAGTGCAACTTGCGGTAAGGGCCTCTGTTATCTGCCCCCCCCCCCCCCCCCCGGGCCCAGGGCCTTCCTGCACTCAGACCGGGCATTTCTGAGGCACAGGTGCTGGCTGGCCCGCGCCCAGCGGGAGGGAGGAGCCTCACCCCAGGTGGACGCCCCGGATGTGCTTCTGGATCCCGGCCGCGGTGCTCAACACCTTCCCGCAGTTCTTCCAGAGGCACTTGAACATCACCTTCATGGAGTTCTGAAGAGGGGAGAGGGCGCGACAGCAAAGGGAAAATGAGCCTGTGGGCCCAACACGCTTCCTTCCTCTTTACTGGGAGCCCATCCCGACCTCACAGCACGAGTGGGCAGATCCCACGCCCGCGCGGAGGCTCTGCCTGTCCACAGGAGGAGCTGTGCTGCTCAAATCCACCTCCACCTGCTGTGCCCGAGGGTGACCTCTGTGCCCGTGGCCCTGCCCGTGGTCTAGGCTGGCCTGGCTCCGGGAGGCAGGAGGCTGTGGACTCCCAGCCCCTTTCTGCCGGCCAAGCTGGGCGTGGCTGCCTTCTCCCCCGAAAACCGCCTCTCCCGCCAGTATTTCAGAGTTTTGTAATTATGGGTTCTGGAAACTCCTCTCTTTATTGTGCCTTGTCCTATAGCTCTTGCGATCCTGGGCTACCACCCCACCCTAGCCCTGTCTACACCTTTGCAAAAGCCCCTCCAAACTCTTTTTAAATGCTTAAACACTGTTATTGATTTGAAAGAGAGAGGAAAGGAGAGAGAGAGCTCCTGTTCCACTGTCCATGCATTCATCGGTTGATTCCTGTATGTGCCCAGCCCAGCAATCGAATCCACCACCTTGGTGCGTCGGGACAACACTCTCACCGCCTGAGCCACCTGGCCAGGCCGCCCAGCTCTGTTTACCCGTTGAGCACATCACCCACTCCGCCAGGCCCTGGGGTGCGGGAAAAGTAGCGTATGAGGGAATATAAGCGCCGTGATCATTCTGGGGGCGTTACGCGGTGCAAATACACATGCCTTCCTGCGCGGTGAAGTGCTGGGGAGGGGCCACTTATTCAGACATGAGTTTCCAAATATAAACATCACCCTGTTTTTAATAGTAAAAAGGTATTTCTTTGTAATGGAGGTCCCCCTACAGTATTTGCAGGACTAACTTTGGAGAATAAGAGCATCAGGGGATGGGCTCAACTTTAATGGAATCAGCGGTCTCTGTTCATAGGCGAAGGCGCTCCACATCACCTCAGGGCCCTTTGCCAATGTCCGACTACGCCCACGAAACAATCCTCCCTGCAGACAGAGCCACTCAGGTTAAAAAATAAAAATAAAAATAAAAATAAAAATATTTTAACTGATTTCAGAGAGGGCGAGATAGAAACATCAATGATGAGAGAGAATCACTGATAAGTTGCCTCCTGCATGCCTCTCACTGGGGATTGGGCCCACAACCCGGGCACGTGCCCTTGACTAGAATCGAACCCAGGACCCTTCAGTCTTCAAGCTGATGCTCTTATCCACTGAGCCAAACCGGCCAGGGCCAGAGACCGAAGACAGCATGTAACATGGCCCAGCCCGCCCCACGGGCCCCAGCTCTGCCAGGGCAGCCAAACCAAGCCCAGCTGCAGGCACAAGCGCAGCTGCCGATCTGACCATGACCATCTGCGCTCAAACCCTGGCTTCTCCCGGCAGCTGCACTGACATTCAGGAGGCTGAAGGCCCCCATGCCCACAGGCGTGCCTGGTCTGACAGGGCCACGCCCGGGGCAGCCGGCTGGGCAGGGACCAGCAGGCCCTGCAGACCCACCAGCTGGGGCTGTCCCCGGGACCGGGAGGGTCTCCGTCCCTGACGCTGCCGTGTGGCTGAGGGGCCAGGCTGCCTCGCTCTCTCCCCTGAAGCCTCCGCCGGGTGTGAGCTGTCACCCAGGCGGATTCCTGGAGTGGCTTCCACTTCCTGACAGAACCCCAGCTAACACTCAGGCCTGGCACAGGCCAATCCCTCCAGTTCCCGGGGATGGGCCCACCTGCGTCCTGACGGTCCAGACTCATCCCTGGGCCAGTCCGCTCAGAGCTGCCGGCTCACCCGCCCCGGGCCCACTCCCAGCTGCCTTTCCCTCAGGTGTGTGCACACGGTGATGAGGGTGTGTGCGTGTGTGTACGTGTGAACATGTGTGCTGGGGCGGAGGCTCGGACAGGAGGACCCGGGCTCGGAGGAAGGAGCACAGGTGAGCTCACGGCACCGTCCTCAGCACCTCACTGTGGGCAGCGGCTCAGTGCCGCCCTCTCCTTTCTCCTCGGCTCCGGCAGCTGCACGGTCATGCCTGGTGGCCTGTTCCCGGGCAGCGGGTTTTCCTGCCCACGTGCTGCTCAGCGGGCATCAGGAACGCCATCAGCTGACAGGTGCCTGCTTGTGCGCGGGCCTCGCCGTCTCTCCCACTTTGGAGCAGGTCCTGCTTTCCGGTGTGAAAGCCTGAGCGTGGTTCGCTCATGATCACTCCCGGCGCCCCTCCCTGACTCCAGGACCCCCACGTGCACGGGGAAGGGCCGTGGCCAGGACCCCTGCAGGGAGAAGCCTCCTGCAGGAGGTGGGAGGAAGGTGGGCTCAGCTCACCGTCAGACCAGGGTGCGCCCCTCCTGTGAGGGCCTGACGGGTCATTGCTCCGGGGCGGTCTCAGGGCCACAGTGGCCTGTCTGTGATGGTCACTCTGCATCTTCCTGCTGCCCCGGTGAGGGAGTAACCATGTTTGCTTGTGTTGCAGGTGAAGAAGCCCATGGTCAGAGAAGGGAGATGACTTTCTGAAGTTGGCAGGGTAGCCAAACTGAGCTGAGCCTGGGGCTCCTGTGACTTCTGAGCAGGCCCCTTCCTGTCCCACGGCTCGTGTTCTCTCCCCACGCCTGAGTGAACCAGCGAGACAGAAGCGCGGAGAAACAAGGCCCCGATCGCGCACGACGCGCCATTCTGTCCAGTTCGAGAACCCAGTGCTACTATTCTCAGCTCACTGAGCTGCTTCCAGCAGGCCCTGTGCAAGCATGGGGCCCTGCGCTGAGTCCCGGCCACCATGCTGCCACCCCTGACACACTCAGATGACCCAGGAGAAGGCCTGCGAGGCCTGACACACCAGGATGGTTCTCACTCCCCATTGCTGTCCGGTAGCTCACCGTCTGGTCAGGCGAACACGATGCCTCCCAGGCCCAGCCCAGCCCGCTGGCAGGTGCAGAGCAGCATCTTCATGCCCCGCCTCCAGCCTCCACAGCGGCCCACGCAGGGGACGGGCCGCAGGGGATGGGGCGGAGCGGCGGGAGGGGCAGGGCTGGGTCGATGCTGAAGAATTAAATCGGGGAAGAGGTTGCATGGCAGCCCTCAGGTTTGCTTTGGGTTTTTGTTTGTGAAAAGTGATTCCTAATGAAGCTACTGAGAAGGACTTAAAGGACCAATGTAGCAGCCTCACATGGACATGGCCATCAAGAGCAACGTGAAAAGGTATTCGAGATGGAGCAGCCGATTGCTTCATCCCACAGAGTGAAACACTTTTGGAAAATTGTGAGTGGTCCTGACAGTGTAAATACACACAAAGAGGAAGGAAAGAATAGGAGCTTTAGGTTCGGATCTGCCCTTCCATCCTCAGGACAGGGCAAGCTCAACGTCTAATCTCCCTGATCTTCAATGGCCTCAAACCAAGTTGGGAGAATGATGCCTACTGGCTCTGGCAGGCTTGCTCAGTGGTTAGAGTGTCGGCCCTCGCACCGAAGGGTCTTGGGTTCAGTTCCCAGTTAAGGGCACGAACCTGAGTTGCACGTTCCACAACCGTGGTTGGAGTGCATGCAGGAGGCAACCAACTGAGGTATCTTTCTCACAGCAATGTTTCTCTCTCTCTCTTCCTCCATTTCACTCTCTCTAGAAATCAATAGAAAAAACATTCTCATTTTGGGGAGAATGAAAAAAAAAAAATAAGGTACTTACCAGATAGGACAGCTGTGAAGATTACATAAATGCATTATCAATGTATTAAATCAATTTATTAGAGTGCCTTTTTTCAGTTTTAGTTTAGTAAACCTACAGTTTTTGGTCTGTAAGTACATATATGCACTTATGTGTCAGCTTTCTTCTTTTTTTTTATCCTCACCTGAGGACATGCTTAGAGAGAGAAACATTGATGTGAGAGAGAAACAGCTATCGGTTGCCTTCGAATGCTCCCCTATCGGGGATCAAACCCCTACCCCAGGCACGTGCCCTGCCTGGGAATGGAACCAGCAACCTTCAGTGCACGGGAGGAGCTCACCTGGCCGGGCTGGGCCAGCTCTCTGCAGGTGTCACAGCGGTTTTATAAAAATAAGATGCAAGAATTCTTCCAATATGCCTTTGAAGCAGAAAATCGGAAAGGGTGTTTGTCTGTAATTCACAGGTGAGCAAAGGTGGAGTCCCAGGAGGAGAGTGAGCTGGGCACCAACCCAAGCCTGACATGCACTTCTGCAGCTTCCAAACCCTGGTCAGCGCTGGGCACCGCTGTCCGCGAGGCAGCAGGCGCAGAGGGTGCGAACTCACCCTGCTGGCTCTGCCTGCCCAGGCCCTGGGCGGGTGCTGAGCCTCAGAGAGGGAGCGGGGGGAGGGCTGACCTTTCTCTTCCTGGGGATGGGCTCGTCGAAGAGCAGGCTGCTGGCCTCGGCCTCGTCGATGCCGTCGTCGGGCGCGGGGCTGCGGAAGGGCTTGGCGCAGTCGGCGGACAGCGGCGGCGACGGCGTGGACGGGTTGGACTGGTCGCTGGGGGCGCTCCAGCTCCAGTAGCCGCTGCTGCAGCTGCTGGACGGGGCACCGCCCTCCTTCCAGGATCCACTCATGCTCTCTGCGACCAGACAACCAGCGTCAGTGCTGGGGTGCAGGGGCCGGGGACGCGGACACAGGGCGGGCCTGGACCCTACTAAGCACAGCCAGCACCGCTCCCCAAAATGTGCTTCAGCTCGGGGTGCACTGTGCATAGCTCGGGAAAAGAGCTGCGTGACACTGAGCTATTTTCACCACATGACAGGCTTTCCTAACAGTTTCTGATGTAGGTGGTTTGGGCACGTCCTGCCTCGGGATGACAGTGGGGGGTGGGGAGTGGGTGGGCATGAAAACAAGAAAGAAAAGGGTGCTTTTGTTCACTAACTTTGGGGCGCTCTGAGTTTACTGTGTTTCTAAGAGGGAAATCACCTGCAATATTGTCCCTCTCCCCCAACCCGTATCTCTCACGGCTCTGAGACCTTTGGAATAGGTTTACGGGAAAAGTTAGTCCCAGGTGTCAGAGTCTAAGAGAAAGAACGATCTCCGCAGAGTTACCCGAGGCCACTGACACGAGGAGCCGTAACAGTGCCTTGCATTGGCTGCTTTCCGTCTCACAAAGCTCATTCACACAGTCCCGTGCGTGCTCACAACACCTGTCTCTCGGAGCAAGGACTCCGTGTGGGTTTTGCAGACGAGGACCTGAGGCACAGGGAGCCGCGACGCGCCACGTGGCCAGGAGTGGACCCGGCCCAAACCCTGGTCTACCAGTTGGCTTCTTTCTCCTTCAGGGCCTGGGTCTCGTGTGGTAGGAATCCCCCCCTTTTCCAGCCACGCTGAGATCAGAGGAGAACTTACGGGCAACGCTTACTGATGAGATGGCTGCCGAGTTCTTCCTTCGCACTGTGGGGAACAGGAAGTGTTTGCTGATGCGGAGAGATCTTTGTCCAGTTAGAACGCCTTAGGAGGAACCTTATAGATCTGACTTCCTTTTTGGATAATTTCTCCTCCATATGTATGTGCATTTTGAATACATTAAAACTATATTTTAAATTCAAGGGAGGGGGGGATCCCTAAATGTCTCAGTATGCTGTTAACATTGGCGTAATTAGTAACCAAGAGAAGACAGCCAATGGACCAGCATCCGTGGGAAAATGACTACCTTCACCCAATCACAGATTTCTAGCATATTCCTCAACTGTGTCAAGCACAACGTTCTGTTAGAGGAATGAAGTGTTAAGTTGAAATCATGGAAGAAAGTGATTAAAGCATCTCTGCAGGTGTCACATCTCATTAAAGCAAGGTTCTTCCCAATCAATGGCCATTTCTGCAGGATCAAGCCTTTCTGGCACCAACACAACCCAATCAGCACCTCACTCCCTGCAGTCCCCGGCCAGTGCTCACCAGGCCCGAGAGCCTTTCTGAACGAGACAGCTGCGTTCTGCAGACCTCCAGGGCCTCCGGGGCCTCCAGGGCACGCCCAGCGGACACACTCCTGGCAGCTCAGGCGGCTGTGATACAGCACAGCACGTGCTGGTGAAGCAAGCGTGTGGTGCCAGGGGATGGTCAGGGTAGGTGGCTACACAGAGCAGGGGAGGTGACGGGGCCTGAGTTGATTTTGAAAAGCAACAACGCATTTTGAAAAGCAGTGAGTCCATTGCCTCATGTCAATGCCCAAAGTTCAGTTGCTGACTTGGGAATGACGTTTCCTTTAAGAAACACTATTCAATGAGAAGGACAACGTGACATAGAAATGAATTTTTCAGAAAAAGTCAGAACCAATTCGAGATTCAGACACTGAGTGGCCAGATTATTATGATTTCTGAATATATATATTAGAGGCCCAGGTGCATGAATTCGTGCAGGGGTGGGGTCCAGCCAGCCTGGCCAGGGGGAGGGGACATGGGCGGTTGACCTGCCTGCCTGTTGGTCGAACTCCTGGTCGAGGGGACAATTTGCACCTTAGCCTTTTATTAGATAGGATATACACTGAGTGGCCAGATTATTATGAGTTCAGAGATCATAATAATCTGGCACTCAGTGTATATGGCCGTGTCTCCTTCCCTGACACATGCATTTGGTGAAATGCAGACAGCCGTGCTGGAAGCTCACCCTCTCTGCAGATCCACTTCCTGACAAAACAATCCTTTCTAGGCTCAAAAACAATCACAACAGTCTTAAAAAATTCACCGATAGACAATAATTCTGGACATAAATTCACCAACACCTTCAGTATCATTAACTGCTTTCCCTGCCTGCTGCAGACAATTTGGGATTATAAACTGGGTGGGTGTTTTTTGAAATCATAACGAACAATGAATTCCTTTCTGTATAACTACGGTATGCTAATAAAGGTTTGCGTGGCAGAAGCAAACGGTTTATTTTGATTCCAACCTTTCAAGGCAAAGGAGCATTAAAAATGTTCTCAATTAAAGAAGAATGCCGTGTAAAAATACTGATTGCATTAAAATTTCTTCTCTGAGGAATCTCTGACATTCTGTAGTTCCTTTTTTTTCCTTCTCTTTTCTGGAAAACAATGAGAATCTACAATTTATTGGCATTTGGTGGCCCAGCGTGGGACAAGCCCTTGTCTGTAACGTTGAGGAATCTTTTCTCTATAAACTCTTCAACCTTTTATATAGCTCCGTTCCCCGGAGATCAGTTTGGGTGTCTTCAGGTTTGCCTTCCCCGAAGTCTTCCTCAGGGGCCTGGCCACACTGAGCGGCGGGAGCTGGGCGGCCGGTGAGAGGCCTGGCAGAGGGGTGTTCCCTCAGCAGCAACACCAGGCTCCCTCCTGGCACCGCCCGGCGCCGCGGCTGCAGTGGTAACACCGCGTGGGGTGGTCGAGATGGGCTGGGGCACTCCCGTGGACGGTGTGGATTTGACTTCCCGGCACCTCGGTCTTTCTTTGCACCGGCAGCTGGAGTGGAGTGCGTTTTGGGGAGTTCTCACTGGATGTTCAACAGATTTGTTTTCACACCGGGTGCTTACCCCCAACCTATGTGTGCGCCAGACCTCAGTCTGCTAGCTGGCCATGCTGGCTTTGAGAGAAGGGTTCCCTTGCAATAGCTTCCACTCCGGAGCCTCGTGTTCATTCAGCCCACTCCCTCGCCGGCGGTCCACCGAGCACTCTTGCCAGAAATCAGCGCCTTCGTCTGGGTGCTGGACTCAGCCCGCTTCATGCGTGAGCTTCTGAAGCATCAGACGTCTGTCCTTGAACATCGCTTTTCCCTTGGCTTCCAGGAACCCACGTTCTCCCCCCTCCTCACCGCTGGTCCCCCTCAGGTTCTTTCCCCGAAGTGAGGGCGGGCCTCACCCCACCTCTCAGTCCCCTCCCAGTCTTCACTCACCGCCTCCACATGACTCAGTGATCTCCCCTCTCCTCATGACTTCCTCACAGCAGCCCAGATCTCGCCAGCCGCTGCCCCGAATGAGCCTCCGTGTTGCCCATGGCACATGCTCCTCTTCGGCCTGCTGACGTCTTCAGTGACCCAGCTCCTGCCCGAACACTCACTGACAGACTCACTGGTATGTGTGGGCCTTCTCAGGGGCAGGCCTCCGTGCTGAGGCCCCTGACGGCCCGGAGAGCACCTGGCTCCTCCTCCTCCATCCCTTTGTCCATCCCCACATCCCGGTGACTCCTCCTTCCTCCCATTTCTCGGTTAATGTCCTGTCCGTCCCCTCTGGGACCACCAGGATCCACGACAGCCGGAGGGTCTGTTGCTGCTGTTTCCTTCTGTTTTTGTCTGGAAGCCCAGCTGTGACTGTCCAGGGCCGAAGCCACGTTGTGGCTCTCTGGCAGCCTCAGACGAACGTCCGTGCTCCTGGCCAGGCCTCCGTCACCGCTGCTGCTCTCCTGTCCTCACAGTGAGCAGTGAGCCCCAGTGGCCATGACTAACATGGCAGACCGGAGTCGGAGGATGCAGGGAGAATTCCAGCTTTGCTGTTTACAAGTCAATTAATCCCATGTGCCTCCATCACTCATCTGTAAAATAGCGACAATGATAGCCACAGGGTTGTGCGAATGACGTGAGACAGAGGGAGCACGGGCTCGGCAAGTGCTGCCCCTGACGAGGCTGTGACTGGGAGCCTTCCCCCGGAGACCGAGCACCGCACGGGACTGAGGGCGTTCACCGCAACGACACACCCACACCGTCTAGCACAGCACCCAGTAAGCACCCCCTGAGTGATGAACGGACTGAATCATGGCTTTTGATGTGGAGTCTGGGACAAAGCCTCTGTGCTCTGACCCAATTGCCTCTCCTGTGGAACGAAACAGTGATGGGAAAGAGCTCCATTCACCCGGGGAAGGGGCAGGGCGCTGCGGTGAGTGCCCTGGACACGGGCGTGCGGGAGTGGGAGCGGGTAGAGGGGTGACTGTGGGCTCTCTGGGAAGACGAGGAAGCTGGCCAGGGTCCCCATTTCTCCCACACTGCCCTGTTCCTGCTCGCGGGGAGGCGTAATCGCTCATTCCATTTGATGGGAAAGAGACCCCCAAAGGGGGCTGTGCTCATGGTGCCCTCCCTATGCCCATCCCGCCCGCCCTCCCCTCACCCCAGCTCACCGTTCGGCCTCACGGGAGGGCTGCGGACCAAAGGGCTCGTGGACAGGCTGGTGAGTACCATGGCCGCTGTCACCTTGTCCATGTCCAGTTCCTCCGAGGACTTCCTGGAAAACAGGGAGGGCACTGTCAGCCGTGCTCGCTCTGCTGGACGGGAGGCCCTGCCACCTACCATCACAGGAGACAGGAGAGGCGGGGGGGGGGGGGGGGGGGGACGCCCCAGCGAGCCCTCTGCGGGGGACAGGACCGAGCAGCGAGTCCCAGTGGCGGAGTGAAGACTGCCATCGCTCACCGAGACGGACACGCACTGGGACGGACAGGTCCCGCTGGCTCGTGAATTCTGGCCGGTTAACCCGAAAGAAAGGCTCATACGACACTGGCCATGTGGACAGCAGTCAGCGGACCGGGGCTGATTTCCACGAAGGAGTTAACATCGAACATGCCTGCAGTACACCCGGCGTCAGAACCCGCGTCCCCTCCTGCATGGGCATTCCCAGGGGGCGGTGAGGAGCCCTCGGACACCGTGGGGGCAGGGAGTGGCCACACCGACTGACGCGCCTTCCTCCTGGCCCGCTGCTGCCTCATGAAAGCAATGGAGTCGCAGAGAAAAGTCAAACTGCTCCCGTCCAGGGGGTGGGGCTGCTTAACTGATTCCAGGACAAACGTATGAAAAGTTCACGGTTTGGCTCTCCAGCGAGCCCCAGGACGCTCAGTTACAGAGCAAAGTGCCCGTCCAGTCCTGGCTGGGGACCGGCAATCGCCGTCTGTGGTCCCCAAAGCTCCTGCTCTCTTTCTCGGAAAACTGTTCTAGCCCAAGACCAATTCCCTTTCTCAAGGCTGGCAATGAGAGATGCTTCCAGAAGGCGCGTTTGCATGGAACACTGCGGAAGGTACCCTGCAGGGTCTCAGGACCACCCGGAGCAGCGGGGGAGCTGCTCGGGCCCATGGCGCACCCCGGAAAGACCACAGCGCCCACAGGCCACAGGGCCTGGGGCTTGAGAGCAGAGGGAGGCCAGCTTCCTGCAGAAACGGGAGCAGCGAGGGAAGGACTTAGAGCTTCAGGTCACTGATGCTCACGCACCCCTCCACCCCATGCAGGCGTGTGGGTGTCACCAGGGCCGCCCAGGAGAAAGGCCTGCTGGGCACACTGTCCGTGGCTGCCGCCAGAGCCCCGCCGTCACCACGGCTCCCCACGGGGCGGGCACAGCAGGCCACCGCCATCGTCCCAGACGGAATGACTGGAGCTGCTGCTGCTCCTCCCACTCTGTCTCCTCTTTTTAACAAAAGTGCTGAGAGCCGGGATCAGGGGCCTGGGAGCTGGCCGCTGGGCAACGGCAGGTCCCTAATTCCTACAGGGACTCCCTCTGCAGCCACACTTCTTTCTAGTCCGTGGTTTCAGAAACCTCCATTTCCCTCCTGTAATCTGCTTTGCATCGTTTTATTTTTAAAATATATTTTATTGATTTTTTACAGAGAGGAAGGGAGAGGGATAGAGAGTTAGAAACATCGATGAGAAAGAATCATCGATCAGCTGCGTCTTGCACACCCCCTACTGGGGATGTGCCCGCAACCACGGTACATGCCCTTGACCAGAATCGAACCCCGGACCTTTCAGTCCACAGGCTGACGCTCTATCCACTGAGCCAAACCAGTTTCGGCTGCTTTGCATGGTTTTAAAATTTTCACATTAAGGTCTGTTTTAGAGGTCTAGTCAATAATTAACTTAAAAGCTGGTCTATGTGTTGTGTTTTTTTTTTTTTTTTTTTTAATATGAAGATCAATAGCAAAAGTGTCATGTAAAATACGATTTTTTTGCATTGCCAAAGTCTGCCACTACCTTTCAACATCGTGATCAGAAAGCAGGTTCCCAGTGAGGAGCAAAACGCAGAGCAGATGTCAGCCTCCTCGGAGCTCTGTGTTTGGCCACCTTTGGTTCCCGTGGGCCGGGAGGTCACGCGGACACCCCGCGGCCCGCTGCTCACCAGCGAGCCTGTGGTCCCGGGGAGGGTGCCACGCCGCCTGGAACATGGGGCGTGGCGTGTTTTGTTTTTTATCCGTGTTTATTTCTTTCGGTGCATTGCCATCTAATTACCGATTAATTGGTTCTGCAAATGCAAATCCTGGTAATTAAATGGGAAGAGATGATGCTCCACGTGGGACTTGTCACACTCAGGGAAAGCGTTGCTGAGCCGCCCAGCGGCCGTGGGGCTGCTGAGGAAAAGCCCGCCCACCGGGTGATCAGACTGAGAGTTTTCTCTGATGGGAACGGACTCGGACCCCCTGTGGAAGGCTGCCCGACCCCACGCTCACACAGGCGGAGAGCCTGTCCGAAGAACCTTCCTTCCCAGGCCTGGCTGAGTATTACGGGACTGTAGAGTTAGTTCTTAAATAGCCCTACGCCTTGTCCCTCTGTAGGCGCTTTGTCGCTCAGCTGAGGGGCTGTGGTGGATGAGCAGGATCTCCAGATGCGAGAGTCACGTTTCAGGGAGGAAGCAGGCGAGTCCGTGGCTGGCAAATCGCTCGGGCATCCTGGTTGGAGGATGTGGTGGGAGAGGAGAGGGCACAGGCCTGGCTGGGTCTCGGGCCTCATGGGCCAGGCCAGGTGGACTTTTGTATTCTCATAAGCAGACAGAGAGAGAGAGAGAGAGAGAGAGAGAGAGAGAGAGAGAGAGAGAGAGAGAGATAGAGCCATTGAACATACATGAATCTGGGAGAGAAGTCATCAACCTGGATTTTAGAAACAGGTCGAAACGCAAACAGGAACGGACAGGGAGACGGGAGGCGTGCTCTGGCTATTTTAGTTAACTCTCCATCCCAATGCAAAGTGCTGGCCTAAGACCACTGCTCCCCCTGCAGAGGCAGGAATCCGCCTGCGCACAGAGCTCTCCATGCGGCCGTGGAGGGTCGCTGGGAGAAGACTGCAGCTCAGCAATGCGTCACGTCCTGCGGCTTCACATCCGCTCTCCGCCACGACTGGCTGTGTGACTCTGGGGAAATCACTTAACCTCTCTGAATCTGTTTCTTCATTCGTAAAGGGAGGGTAAATATAGATCTGTTGAGATGATTCAACGGGAAAACACACGTGGGCACCAGCAGAGCCTCACCCACAGCCAGGATTCCTCAGACGTGAGCTCTTACCCTCACATCCCAAACCCACCCATGACATGGGTCCCACACGCGAGAGGGGCCCAGCCTCTCCTCGCTCTTCCAACCGCACCAGCACTAGCAGGCGTGGCTTCCTACTGAGGGGAGGGGTGCTGCCAGTGGTGGTGTTTTCCCCAAAGGACCAAACTGTGCCAATGTCACAGGCGTCACCCGGTGAGAGGTGGCCATCGGCACAGGAAGTGGCAGCTGCTGAGCCCTCCCTGGGCTCGTGGTGCCAGGGCCAGGATCCAGCAGTGACGCGGTGGCCCTGGGGCACGGGCCACACAGCCAGAGCCCGGAGCAGGTCTGGGTTATGCCCCGAGTTCCTGCTTTCAGCGTCACTCTTGAGGACCAGACTGAGCCGGGCGCTGCTGGACACTGCAGAGAGAGCCTCAGAGGAAACCCGTGGGCCTGGCCACCCTAATCCCGCCCTCCCCCCATACACACACATACACAACCAGAAACCTACACAGGACACAAAGCTAGGAGGTGGCACGGCCTTGGTGAGGACCTACGTAGGTCCCCGGCTAAGGGAGCCCGACGGGTGAGGCAGGGGGCAGGAGAGGGGGGCTGGTGCCAGACTACCCTGAGAAGGCACAGGATGCTCAGCGTGGTGCCAGGCAGGGGGGCAGGGACAGGCCCGGGAGCACAGAGGTGTTTCGAGTGGCCAGGCTTCAGGGAGGTCAGGTCAGGTTAGGGCAGTGGTCGGCAAACTGAGGCTGGTGAGCCAAATGCAGCTTGAGAGTTGTGGTTTTCCGCTCTGTTGACTAATGAGTTTGCCGACCACTGGCCGAGACTCTCGATTCCAATAATTACAGGCTGTTGTTCCTTGTGATTAAGCCCCATCCCAGTGGTCGGCAAACTCATTAGTCAACAGAGCAGCAAACCCTGGCTCAAGAGCCGCTTGTGGCTCACAAACCACTGTCTGCCATCCACTGGGTTGGGGAGATGCCCTCAGGCTTGCTTTTCAAAAAGTGCATCTGGCTGCCGGGTGGGAAATGAGTTTCCTGGGCTTGACAGCTGATCTGTTATCGGCCAAACGGACTGTGGCCGCGGCGGAGGGTGACGTCACCTGTGACAGCGAGGTCCGCAGGCGCGGCACGCATCGGCAGGCACAGCGCCGACGGCACGGTGGGCACGGCCGCAGGCCCGGTGTGCGTGGCTGCAGCCTGGCCCCGGGGCTGTGGCCGGTGTGGACAGGCTGTTGTTTCTGTCACAAGAAGCCCTTCCTTCTTTGAGCCACTTCCCGCCTGAATGCCATCTGCTGTGAGCACTCACCGTCCCCGCTAACCTGGCAGCCAGGAGAGAGGCGCCTGGGCCCGAGAGCGTGACAGACGTTTCCCTGCAGCTGGCGTGCTGCAGTCACGGCGGGAATTGGCAAGGCAGAGCACACCCTGGGTCAGCACTGATGCCGCTCCCAGCAGCTCCTGGAATCGGCCGTCTAGGCCAAGTTCCACCACTTCGAAGACCCCCAGACCCTCAGACAAGGAAACGGCCTGGCAGGAGCTCTTCCCTGGAAAGATGCAGCCACACCCCGGCCGTGGACGTGGGGACAGCTTCTGTTAAGAGCCGGCACACGGCTGAAACCGGTGTGGCTCAGTGGATAGAGCGTCGACCTGTGGACTGAAAGGTCCCGGGTTTGATTCCGGTCAGGGGCATGTACCTTGGTTGCGGGCACATCCCCAGTGTGGCGTGTACAAGAGGCAGCTGGTCGATATTTCTCTCTCATCGACGTTTCTAACTATCCCGCTCGATCCCTCTCTGTGTAAAATCAATACAAAATAAAAATAAATAAAAAGAGCCAGTCCATGGATCTGGGTGGCGGCCACGGTGGCCATGCAGAGCACTTTGCTTCTTCCTGAAGGAATCTGTGGCAAAGGCGGTCACTGTTAATGCTCACTTCCCTGGGAGGTGCTTCTGGTAAAGCCACAGGGAAGATGTGTGTGATTCTGCGTGAAGGACA